TATGGGACAAGAACAAACTTATCCAGGAATTGAAAGCAATTAGCACTTAGCAAGGAGTCCAGGCTGCAGACAAAAAATTGTTTTGTCACCTGCTTGGTAACTGGATGCTTCACGTCACCAGGATAAATGATTGCCCTGTTGAAGAATTTAAGAAGTTAATTACAAGACAGATGTGTCTTCAAACAGACAATTCAGGCCGAACATAACAGAGGAGCTAATTCTCATAAGGAGCAAGCTGCGGATCCAAGAACTCCAAAAGAGTAGTCAATATTTTCAATGAAAAGAATGTAAATAATCATCAATAATATCACATTATGGACCTGAAGGACAGAAACGTGTATGAAAAAGCAACTCTCCCTTAGCAGAACTTCAAAGAACAACAGTCCACAAGAAGCGAACCCTGGACACTTCCAGAGACTGACACTGTTGGTTGGAATTGTAGCTAAATTTCATCATTAATCGGGTAATAGCCAAGTTGACTTGTTCACATGGGGGATTTTGTTTTGGTTGCTACACGCAATAAAGTTTAAATCATTGTTTCAGTACTTGACTGTGAGATTTCTTAAGCAGCCAAATCAAGTTGTGGTGGTTTACCTGCAACACATCGAAGCAGTTCAATCCCTAAAATCAACGATGACACTCAAATATAGAAACCAGGAGCAGGAGTAGGTCATTTGGCCCTTTGAGCCTGGTCCATTGTTCAATCATATCATGACTAATCCTCAATCTCAACGTCGCATTCCTGCTTTCTCCCCACACCCTTGATACCTTTTAAATCTAAACATTTATCTATTTCTTTCTTGAATATATTCAGTGATTTCGCCTCCACTATATTCTTTCTTAGGATGTCCAAAACTACACCTAATCCCAGATCCCTTTTCTTATCCACACTTCTGAATATATCACTAGTTAAATAATAGACACCCAAGTGTGTGACTTCATATTTAGTCATGTTGCTTCTGCCATGTCTTTGCCAACTCACTTAACTTATCTTAGTCACTTTGAAGCCTCCATGTATTCTCTCACCTCACAATCCCACCCACTTTTGTCACTGAGAAACTTAGAAATATTTCATATGGTTCCCCCATCCAAGATAGTCTTATAGTCATATATCATGAATAGCTGATGCCCCAAGCACTGATCCTTGCAGTACCCCACTAGTCACAGCCTGCCACTCAGAAAAAGAGCTATTTACTTCCACACTCTGTTTTCTGTCTGTCAAACAATTTTTGATCCATGCTAATATAACTGCCCCTATCCAATATGCTATAATTTTGCCCACTAACTTATGAGGAACCTTACAAAATGGATATTAAATTCAAAAGTTACAATCAACTTGTATTGGACCTTGGGAAGACCACATTTATTGTGCACTGTTCTGGTCTATATACCATAAAAAGAATATAGATGCATTCAAAAAAAAATACAAAAATACTTTCCATTGAAGGCCGCTGGCCAAGACATCACGGCAATTTGGAAAGATTGAGCAGGCTGTGTCTTCTTTTTAGAAAAAAAGAAAATTGAAAAAAGACCTTAGAGGTCTTTAAACTGATAAATTTGTCGGTCAAGTTACTTGTGAAAGGAATGTTTTTACTTGCAGAAGAATCTAAAACCAGGGGACATAGCACAAAATAGATAAACAACGAGAAATTTCCTGACTCAGAATAGCAAAATTGTATGACTCAATACTGCAAGCAGTGGTTAAAGCAAGTAGCTTAGAGGCTTAGGAAAGGAAACTAGATGAATACAAGAGAAAAGGGAATGGAAAATATACTGAAATATTCATCTGAAATAAATGGATTAGGTTGAAATTCAGTTAGAGTACACACCCAGTATGGACTCTTTGGATCTAATAAGCTGTTTCTACATCTCTAATGACAACTTATTTTTTATTTTTGCTCTTTTTTAAATTGTGGATTATTATAAGAAAAGAACTCTTAAAATTGAGGATTGCAAGGATGACTGTATGGTTTGAAAGCAAGTAACTTGATATTCATTGTGAATATTGTTTGAACAGGATAATAGTATTGTTGCAGATGAACTGGAGCCGAAGAGTATGTACTAATGGGGTTTTTATTGACAACAAGTAGCGGATTTGTTTGCGGACTAGTAACCAGTTACCAATGACAAAGGTCTTCTGCTTGTTAACAATTATGTGGTTGGCTCTCAGGTACCTGACCAGTTTGGGGCTGTGAACAAGATTCACAGAAGCCTTCAGATCACCAAGTCTCTTGGTTCTCTATAGTAAAAGTCAATTTAAGCCTGAAGAAAATCAGTTATCTTTCCTTTAGCAGTTGCTATATGCTGTGAGTTTTAATGATCGAACCTGTGACATTTTATTAAAGAACCAGCCACCATGTGCATCTTGTAAACCTATGAAAATAGGCAGAGAATGATAGTTGAGAAGCAGCATTTTGACTAGCACAAGAATCACAAGAAACATCTGAACAACCCTTGTGAACAGGAATCACTGAACTCTCCTCCTAGCTTTTCACTACATTCATAATCCATTTTTTCCTCTATGTTTAAGTGAAGTGTATAAGGGAATTAGACTTTTAATTGGTACAGATATATGCTGATTGTTCAGAACTATTTACCTGTAATATTTAAATATTTGTAATAAATAGTAATTCTTGTTGAGTACAGAAACGTGGTCTGAGCTTTCTGTCAATGTGGGCCAGAAAAGCAGATACAGTGGGGAATCTTCACATATTTTAAGAATTCTTAACCTTTGTGATGACTGAGAATAGTGGGACCTGATTTCCAGCATGTTACCCCAGTGAGTCATGGCACACCATATATTCCATGCCATTGGCTGTGACAGACAGATAGGGCTAAATGATCTACTCCTGTTTCTATATATCATTGGCAGCTTCATTCAGAGCCTACGCGCAGAATTTTATGTGGAATTAGTGGCCCTGTCCCCATCATCTAGTAAAACTGTCTCTGATGGGCTTTGTCATAATGAGTGGATTTTATAGTCATACGGCTACTAATTGACTCAGGGTGAAACTTCTGCTTCCAGCTTATAACATCAAACATTTCTGATAAAATTTGCAATTTCAAACGTCAATTGAAGTAGTATTATTTATGCTTAGTTTTGAGGTTACTGGAACTCAATAGAAGCAGGTTTCATTTTTAATAAAATTGATTACTAGTGTTTTATAGTATTGGATTAAACTAGTGAGGGGTTCATTCAGCACAAAAGTAAGGAATCCTGCCATAAGGACAATGAAGGCAGCAACTACATGGCCAGTATCAGTAGTAGACTGAGGCAATGGGTTTAAAAGTGCCACGTGGTTTCAAATGGTGGGACATTACACCAATATTGTGATAAATTTACATAGGTAAAACTGATCATAAATGAGGTCGTAACAATTTATAATAGACAAAATGTGGCACAAGAAACATTGCAAATCTATTGAAATAAATCAACTTGTGCAGATAAAAAGTGTGTATAGATCTAATTTGTTAATTTGATACACAAATTGCTACATATTTTATCATTCAGTCACAGGAATCTGCTGAATTTCATAAATCTCCGAGGATTTGATCTTACCAAAATCACATGTCTGAATTGCAGTTATGTCATTCATCTAACCCTGATCATATTTCTGATGTGTGAGGCATTCAGGCAGCATCATAATTTTTTTCCTAGAATCCCTACGGTGTGGAAATAGGCCATTCAGCCCAACAAGCCCACACCAATTCTCCGAAGAGTGAACCACCCCCTACCCTATCCCTGTATTTCCCATGGCTAATCTATCTAACCTACACATCCCTGAACACTATGGGTAATTTAGCATGGCCAGTCCACCTAACCTGCACATCTTTGCACTGTGGGAGGAAACCTATGCAGACACAGGGAGAATGTACAAACTGCACACAGACAGTCACCTGGGGCTGGAAGTGAACCCAGGTCCCTAGTGCTGTGAGGCAGCAGTGCCAACCACTGAGCCACCATGCCACCCCAGACAAAATTTGGACAATGGTTGTTCAATGAATTCCCAGCTGTCAACTAATTTTTAAAAAAATTTTGTAATACAACAATCATTTGTATCTATGTAACGTATTTTGTATAATAACCTGTTCCAAAGCACTTCACAAGGGGATTAGCAAATGCATTTTAGCATTGAGTCACACAAATAGATACTAGGAAAAATGATTGAAAGCAGAGTCAAAGAACCAGGAGAGGAAGGGAGGTGCAGAGTTTCAGTGAGTAAATTCCAACTGTTAGGGTCCAGACAAGGTGGTTAAATTCAGCAATAGGCTGGAATTGGAGGAAGGCAGAGATTTAGCAAGATTGTAAGGGCCAGAGGAGGTTATAAAAATAGGAAAGGTGAGGGCATTTAAAAACAAGAACGACAAATTTAACAGAAGCGATTGGTGAATGGGACATGTGTTAGAATATGCAGGAAACAAATTCTTGAATAAACTCAGATGTATGTAAGATGGACAATGAGAGGCTGACCAGAAAAGCATCGGAATAATTAAGACTAGAATTATAAAAGGAATGGGTGAGAGGTACAGTAGCAGATGAGCTGACGTAGGAGAAAAGTTAGACCATGTTAGAGAGCTGGAATTAGGTGGTCTTGATAATGAAGTGGATACTTGCCACAAAGAGTTTGTTGTTGCTGACTGCCAATTGGAAATCCCTTGGGTGCCTTCTGAAATATTGGATCTGTCATTTGGTGGCATTATATTCCACAAAAAAGTAAATGAAACTTAAAAGTGCAGAAGTTATAACTAACTTGATATGATTTCACACAATTCATATCAAAGAATCAGAGGAAAATGGTGTTAGTTATTCACTCAGATGAAAGAAACCTAACAACTGTAAAGGTCAAAACTTATGTTATTTTCTTTAGTTACCGATTTGCTTTGTGTTTTAATACATAAACAAATAAGGGCATCTCAAGTGCAATCATTTCTTTCTCTGTACATGAAACAAGAATTTCCTGAGTATAATTGTTTCCTGTTTTTTCCTATTTTTGTTTCAGACTTGTCAGCAAGTCAATTTCTTTTCATCTTTAAAATCATTGCTGCTTACACCGGCTTGTTCTTTGCTGAATTTCTACTTGAAGTACGAGGATAGAATATATAATTTGTTTTAAGTGTTACATTGGATGATTCAATGTCGTACAATTAAATTCCATATTTTATACAAATGTCAAAATACTCACTCTGATTGGTGACTGCTTGGCAGAGCAGGCTCTACAGGCCATACAAATTTCTGTTCTATTTATGTTCATCAGCTGGAAATCCCATTATGGAATAAATTCTTTAAAACTCAAATACTGTGTATACATGAGCAATGATCAAACTTGCATAACAGTCAACCTCTACTTCTAACTTAAATCCAAACTCTCTGTACTTCTCTGCTGAAGTCAACCTGGAATACCGTGAACAGTTTTGATCTCTTTACCTAATGAAAGATACCCTGGCATTGGAGGCAGTCCAGAAAAGTTTTAACATTGATCCTGGTATGGAGGGATTTACTTAAGAGAAGCGGTTGTGTTGTTTGGGCTTGTAATCATTGGAGTTTGGAAGAATGAGAGGAGACCTTATTGAAACATAGAAGATTCTTAGGTGACTTGACATAGCAGATACATAGTGGTTGTTTCCCTTAGTGGGAGAGTCTGGGACCAGAGGGTGTAATCTCAGAAAAGCAGGCCACCAATTTAAGACAGAGATGAAGAGGAATTTCTTCTCTTGGGATAGTGAATCTGGGGAATTCTTTACCGCAGAGGGCTGTTGAGGCTGGGTTGTTGAGTGTATTCAAGGCTAAGCTGAACAGATTTTCTTATTAAGGGAATGGAGGTTTATGATGAAGAAAGGCAGGGAAATGGAGTTGTGGATTATCAGAGCAGCTTTAATGAGCCAAATGGCCTACTGCTGCTCCTACATGTTGTGGTCAAACTCATCCTGTGCAAACCTACTCCTAGAATCAGACAATAGGAAACTGGTTCATTTGGCTCTGCAAGGTTTAATACTGAGGGGAGCCATAAGCACCTATGCACTATGTTGCTGTCATGAGGACTTGTGAAATCTTGAAGGAATGAGATTTAACATCGGGTCCTACTCAATACCTTTATAATAATATCTATCATATCAATGTAACCTGTAACTAGTTGCTAACGTGAATAGAATATATCTTGTTAATTTTAAGGGACTCTTCTGGTTCAACCAGGAAATGGTTTTCCTCTACCACACTAGCCCAAGCAGGCCCTGCAGTTTTCCATACTAAGGAGAATACTGACAGTTTTCTCCCTCATGAACAGCAACTCATACAGCATAGTGCACTGGCATTCCTATGAAACATACACCATTGAATGCAGCTGCTTAGCTTCTGTGCATGTTGTCATGGTTACCACCTCACTGGTGCATTGTGTGTTCCCACTGGTCCCATCCTCTAATGTGGCAACTTCATATTAATATGGAATGTCTGACACACAGTCCAGTTCAAACTTAAAAGTTGTTGAGATTGCAAAGCAGACAAATAATTGTGCAGCAGCTACAGATTTGCAGATATCAAAGAATGTTAAAGATTGGAGGAAACTTAGGGAGATGTCTAAGAGTAAAGAGCAAAGCCTGGCATGTGGCCACTGTTGGAAGACTAAGTGCAAGATATGTCAATGCAAATTGCCAGAATGGACTCTGTTTCTCAAGGATTTGTCCAAATCATTGCCCTGAAAATAGCAAGAAAATTAGGCATTGTAGATTTCAAAGCAGTTCTGAATACTGTACCATGTTTATGAACAGAATCAACTTTGTTCTGTAAGAGAAGGCCAAAGTTTCACAGCCTCTCTGAGGAGAAACTGATAAGCTTATTAGATTTCAGCTATGTTCAGTCAAACTTGAACAAAAGCATGAATGTGTTTTGACATGACAGCCAGTCAAATAGTGAGCAAAGTTGGAGAGAAAACAATTTTGGTGACAATGGGACAAAGTTTACATCAATGATGATAAATCAGTGATTCCTAAAAAGAGTGGTCATCCACGTTCACAATAAAGGACAGATTTTGAAGGTGATTTGAAAATAAGGTGTGGAAAATTTGGAGATTCTGACTAGGAGGAAAGAAAAGTCTTCTCTTCTGGCTTATGTCCAGATCACAGTTTGTTGATGTTGATCCTAGAATTAGATCACAAAACAGTGATACTGTCATAATTCGTGAAGGTTGAACCAACCTTGGTCACCCATTCAAAGTCTCTCCAAATAAATCCTACAAAGATAGCATGAGAAAAATGCAGAATGTTCAGATGATCAGAGGAGAGAAGACATTCATCAAGGGAGGAAACATAGCATTTTGACATGAACACTTGTGTTATTGAAACCGGGAATGTGATCAAGTCGTTGAAGGATTGTGGGATAACTTGATGGCGCAGAAGATGGTTTGTTTCTTTTTTTCTTCTGTCGCGGACACTGTTGGCTAGGTAAGCATTTATTGCTCATTGCCACTTGGCATTGAGAAGGTGGTAGTGAGTTGGCTCTTTGTAGCATAGATACATAAATGCACTAATAGTGCAATTAGGATGGGAGTGCTATGAGTTTTGATCACATGACAGTGGAGGAATTATGATATAACTCCAAGTCAGAATGGTATATGGCTAGGAGGGAACCTTATAGGTGGCGATATTCCGTTGCATTTGTTGCCTTCGACCTTGTGGGCAGTAAAGGTTGTCGGTGTTTTGAGAGTGCAGTTCAAAGCTGTCTTCGTGCTGTGCTGAAGTGTATCTTGTTGATGGTACACACTGGTGCCACTGGTCATTGGTGTTGGAGAGGCTGAATGTTGAAGGTGGTGGATGGGTTCTATCAAGCATGCTGCTTTGCCTCAGATTTTGTCAAGGCTCTCAAATATTCATTGGTGAGAGTCAGGACTTAAATTTCTCACTGCAGAATTCCTAGCCTCTAACCTGCCCTTGTAACACTAATAATTATTTTCAGGTCCAGTTCAGCTTTGTGTCAATGGTAATATCCAAAATGTTGATTGTAGAGGATTCAGTGATGGAAATGCCAAGTAATGTCAGTCCGGTTAGTCATTTAATAGTCTACCACCATTTACGACTGTCATGACAGGACTACAGAGTTTATATCTGACCCCTTGGTTGTGGGATCACAGCTCTGTCCATTATGTTCAGCATACATTACTTGGCATGCAGGTCCAGTTCCTTTATAAGGTTGACATCTCATTTTTAGGCATTTCACATGCTGCTACTGGCATGTCCTCCAACATTGTTTACTGAACCAGGTTAATCCCCCTGTTTGCTCATAAACAAGAAGGGAATATGTTGGACCATGAGATTTCATGTGGTTTGATTGTGTGAGAAAACAATAGGGAGCAATCAGCATTGGGAGCAAGGTGGAGAATTAAAATGACAAACGGAAGCTCAAGATTGTGCTTGCCAATTAAACGGAGAGGTTTTGATTTAAAAAAAATCATTGACTTGAAATCTTACCTGCCAACCTGCTGAGATTTTTTTCAGTCGTTTTTTGGTTCTCATGTCAGACTTCCAAATTCTACTGTATTTTCCTTTTGTACATTAATGCCTCGCTGAATATGATTTAACTATAATTTAAAGGCACACTTGAATCAATTTAGAACAATTTTTAAAAAGAAATGCATTAGAATTCATCCACCAAAAATGCAATGAATAAAGCTGCAGCCTGTTTTCTGTGGGCACCTGGCAAAATACACAAATCAATTAACACAACAGGAAAGGAATTTTGCTTCATAATTCATCACTGCTTCTTGTGTTAAAAATTCTGTGTTCAATAAATGTAACTTGAGACTGACACTTAGTGAGTCAACTGGTGCATAATATATCAGTGTATGATGTTGAATAATAGAGCATTATGTGCTAAATAACAAACTATTAGAATAGTGTGCAATATTAACCTTGGATGAAGCAACAGAATATTTATAATTTATCTGACTTTTGTAATCTTCTATTTTGGGGTCTTGTGCTGCAGTGGTCCCTTTGTTTGACAAACCCTACAATTAAATTTTACATTTATTTACTTGGCAAAGTAATGTCTCATTTGGGGCCCCTCAAACCTGGCACCCCTGCCAACTATCTAATGAGCCTATATGATCAGGCCATCCTGTCCCTTACTTCTGGGTCAGGAGGTCTGGCTTGAAGTCCCATCTACTCCAGAGTTATGTCAGAACATATCTGGACAGGTTACAATATCTCAAATCTAACTCTTTTACAAACTGGTGAATTCTGCTTAAAAGAAAAACCTGTATCTTTATACCTATTAACCCCTATCTAGGATAAAAATGCATTGGTACTATGATGAGGCCACATTTGGAGCACTGTGTGCAGTTCTGGTCACTCTACTAAGGATACTATTAAATAAGAAAGAATGCAGAAAAGATTTACTCGAATGGTACCTAGACTAAAAGGTTTGAGTTAAAAGGAGAGGTTGGATAGGCTGGGACTTTTTTCCCCTGCAGAGTAGGACACTGAGGGGTGACCTTATAGAGGTTTATAAAATCATGAAGAATAGATAAGGTAGATAGCCAACAGCTTTTCCCCTTGATAGGGGAGTCTAAACCTAGAGGGCATAGGTTTAAGGTGAGAGAGGAGAGATACAAAAGGGTTCAGAGGGGCAGTCTTTTCACACAGGCTGGTGAGAAGTCTGGAACTGGCTGCTAGAGGTAGTGGGCCGAAGAGCCTGTTTCCATGCTGTAAACCTCTATGACACTGTTGGGCAGGACCATACCCAATCCATGTTTTGTGTGAATTGGCCCCAGCACGTGTGGCGGGGTGACTCTAGGTATGTAAGGTATCTGCAGTGACACAAGATCAAGCTGGAAAATCAAGACAAATCGATAATCCGGGCGCAGAATCTCTCCCGTTGAGAGCAACAATTAAATCTTTGACTTGAGCGGACATTGCAGTGTTTAGCATTCGCTGGTGAGACAACATGAGATACTTGAGGGTGGAACCAACATGCACAAGCAATGACTTTTTGTTGCAGATAACAAGGTGTAGAGCTGGATGAACACAGCAGGCCAAGCAGCATCAGAGGAGCAGGAGGAGGACTTTTTGTTGCATTTCGTTTATGGCCGGGATCTGAACATTTTGCAAAATCTACAGTTACATCTGCTGTTGCAATTACCTCCTCCTCCCGAAATCCACAAAGGATTGTAAAATAAATCTTGGCGTTTTCCCAAGACAGTTAAAATAAAACCTGTTCGAGTATTTATTTGAAAAAGAAAAATAACCTTTTGCAGTGATAATTACACCCGCCGTGTCCAAACATCTGGAAAAGGAGACTGTGGAGCAGACACGATCGATTCAGCGGCATTCCTGCGCATTTCGTCGGAAGGTGCCTCATTCCCAGATGTTATAAACAGTTCCTCCTCATTATTACAGCCTCTGCAATACAAGGAGCCACCAGGCAGCATGTCAGTGCAGGCGGGCCAGCTGCTTTTCTCCTTGCTCCTGGCATTGTTAGGAGGGCAGAGCCTGGCATTCTCGGTGCCCAGTACTTGCGAGGCGAACGGCAGCTTGTATTCTGTGGGTGAGTGGTACACGCTGGAGTCGGATCCTTGCAGCCAGTGCGAGTGCACGCTGGCCGGGCCAATGTGCGCCCCTCACACCGAGTGTGCACCGCTGCCTCCCGCCTGTATCCATGTCAGCCACTACCCGAGCGACTGCTGCTCTCGCTGCGAGAGGATTGGCTGTGAATACCGGGGAGCCGTGTACGAGCTGGGGCAGCACTTCCAGGTATCAAAGCGGGCAGCGTGAAATGCCACTGTTTTGCAGGGGACAGTGCTGGCATTTTGTTACGGGGGACGCAGTGATAACTAATCTCAAATTACAGGATCGACTGCAACCAGGATTCTCACAAAGATTTGCTTTATGTCTGTCTCGCTCTTTCTGTTCCCTTTCTGCTCCACCATTTCTTTCTGGTATTTCATGTTTTCTCTCTCTCTGTTTCCTGAAAATGCTTTGTTACATCCCAATTTCGTCCCCTCGTTTCCAACCAACATTTAAATTGATGCTTGGTCTTTCTCTAACCCTCTAAACTCCCCCAGTCCTTCGCGATCATCCTTATTCCACATTTTCATTTCTTGCGCTCCCTCTCTCTACTCTTCTGTTTAGCGCATTTTCCTGTGGTCCGTAAATGTTCATTCCTAACTTTTGTTTCAGTTTTCTTTTCCTGTAGACTTTCATTCTGCAAAGCTGCGTTGATGAGCAGTCAGTTTAATCCCTTGAGCGCTGACAATGTTTTTTCAACAGCATTCCACTGTAAAACAGCCTGCCGTGGTTAAAATAAACCTTTCTGTTAATGTCTACCACAGAATATTTAGAAACATAGCTGTATGGATAACAGTACACAAGTATTCAATTAACTGCCTTCTCATAAAGAATAGTGACATTTATTATTTTGTGTTCGTACTTGAAAGGGCTGTCTGAAACGCAGATGTACTTCACAGGTAGAAGCATTTTGATGCAAAACACTGAACTGTACATCAAAACTATTCATCATCTTTAGGATGTCTACCTGTTGACCCTGTGCTCTCACCAGCTGTCCAATTGCCACTTCTCAGCAAATTCCATCAATATGTTCTATCAATATCTAGATTTATGGTTCTGTCTCTGTTTTAATCTCTCCAATTCAGTCTGTCCCTCCTACAACACCAAAATGGCTCCAACCAAAGTCATGAATGATCTTTTTTCTGTACCATCGTATGTCATAGCTCCTCACTGTTGTAACCTTTAGCACAGATAAGCACACCATTCAAAAATCTATCCATCTCCTCTTTCTATACTCTTAGTCATCTAGCTTCCACAATGCCATGGTGTAGAGAATGCCAGATGTTCACTACCTTCTTGGAGAAGAAATTCCTTACATTTCAGTTTTAAATGAGTGTCCTTTTATTTTGTATCTATGTGCCCTAGTTCCAGATTCCTCTATTAGGGGAAACATCTTCTCAACACCTACCTGTCAAGCCCCATCATAATTGTGTTTCAATAAGATCACCACTCTATCTTCTAAGGTCTCATGAATAAAGGCGTAACCTGCTTAACTGTTCTTGATAAGTCAACTGTATTATGCTAGGAATCAGCCTCCAGTGCTGATAGGCTTTCATAAATATGGAGACAAACCTGAACTCAGTGCTGCAGATGCGGCCTCATTAACACCCTGTACAGTTGTAATAAGTTTTAACTTTTTTTAAACTCCAACTCTCTAGCAATAAAGTTCAAAATTCTATACGTCTGTTTAACTGCTTGCTGCACCTACATGCTAACTTTTATTTTAGTTTCATGCAGAAGAACACCCACATTCCTCTGTGCTTTGCCTTTTGCAATCTCTGTCCATTTAAATAATAGTTTGCCTTTTGATTCTCCCTTTTAAAGTGCTTGACTTCATACATTGTTACATTAAACTCCATATGCCAAGTTTCTGCCACTCACTCAACCTATCGATATCAAGTGCTCACTACAACATGCCATCCCACCTATTTTTGTATTGTCAGCAAATCTGGATATATTATACTGTGCCCCTCCTCCAAGTCATTAATGTGGATAGAAAATAATTGAGACCCTCAGACTGATCCTTGTGGTGCTCCACTCGTTACATCTTTCCAACCTTTTAAAAAAAACCTATCAATCCTGACTGTTTGTCTTGTGTCTTAATATATCTTCAATGTATAGAAGGTCAACACATTGTCTTGGCCTCCAGAAGAAACTTTGTACCCTTGAGACTGAGTCTGTTCCCCCTCCTTGTCAACATTAGATAAACTAGCAACATTTTAAAATCAACAACACCCATGCGCAAAATTTTGGCAAAAACATAAAGGTGGGTCAGTAGCAGGGAGATAGGGAGCTTTGCATGCTTACAGGTGAGATTACTAGTCTGTTGCTATTAATGTAACCATTTTACGTCACTTGTTTTCCTAAGTTGTCAGTAGAATGAATCTCATTGTTGGCAAATATTGTGGACCCTGAACTCATAATATTTTGTATGATTTCCAAAATAGCATTGTAAAGGATTCAATATATTACCCGTCCATAAATCAAAGGACATTACTTTCAGAAATTTTTCTCTGATATTGTAAGGCAGCAATTTAAACTTGCTAATAATCCAATTAGAGGCAAGTTGACTTAAATGCCTCAATCCACATCTTTTGTATTATTTGTTTTACAGTTATTTATCAGAGATCGGCTAAGAGCTGTTTGCAGAGCTTTTTGTCTCAAGTAACATGAAGGATTGCTCTGGTTTCATTGTGAACTTTGTCCATTCTGGACCCATTGGACTATTTAGACTCGGGATGTCACACCAGAGGGAAACTCTCAAAATATTTGCACAGACTAAATCAGTTTTGCAATTAATGAGCAACACTGTTTCCAATCAAAATCTGAGAAACTGCAAAACCATTGTCTTTGATCACAGTCACTCTAATCATTGTCTGGGACTGAAGCAAATTGTTTGTAATCTTTGCACACTGTTTGATTCCTGCTGAGCTTCTGACTCCATATCTGCTCAATCAGCAAAAGATGACCTCTTCCTGCTCTGTATCATCACCTGACTTAGCCCTTCCCACTGTCCCTCTGCTCCTGAATGCAGGTTTTAGTGTTATAAAAATAGGCTGGATAGCCTGGGAGGTTTTTCATTGGAGTGTAAGAGGTTGAGAGGTGACCTTTATAGAGGTTTATCAAATCATGAGGTGCATAGATAAAGTGAATAGCAAAGGCCTTTTCCCGAGGGTAGGGGAGTTCAAAACAAGGGGGCATATTTTTAAGGTGAGAGGAGAAATAATTAAAGGACATGAGGGGCAACGTTTTTTACAGAGAGCCATTAGTGTTTGGAATGAACTGCCAGAGGGAATGGTGAATGTAGGTACAGTTACAATGTTCATAAGACATTTCGATAAGTACATGAATAGGAACGGTTGGGAGAGATATGGGCCAAATGCAGGCAGGTGGGATTGTTTAGTTTGGGAACGTGGTCGGCATGGACTAGTTGGACCGAAGGGTCTGTTTCTATGCTGTATGACTCTGTAAAACCTTCATTCATGGCTTAATTACCTTTAGGCTTGATTATTGTGTTCTACTTGCTGGACACCCATTCTCTACCTTCATAAACTTGCACTTGTCCAAAGGTCTGCTGTTGTCTCTTAACTCAAACCAAGTTCCGTTCACCCTTTTATTTGCTGGCCTACACTGGCTCCCATTTTGAAATGCAGCAATTTAAATATTCTCATCCTTACTTTCAAGTTCCATAAATTGGTTTCTTAAAACCTACCCCTTTAGCAAGATTATAATCAACTATTGCAATTTTCCCCTATATGGTCGTGTCAAATTCTATTTGATGATGTTCCTGTGAAGCACACTAGGTGTTTTACTACCTTAAATGTACAGAAGGTTGTTGAAACAGTATCCAAGTGATGACTGAGAGGCATCAAAATGAAATAACTTGAATTTATATTAGATTTTTTTTGATGTCCCAAACCATTTTATGGTCAATGTATTACATTTGGAAACACGTCAAAAATATCAGCCAATTATACACAGTAAGAACATTGGGCCCAGTGAGGTGCAGCAGTGAACTAGAATGAGCTATTAATTGTTCAAAGCGTTGACACATTTTTACTGTAACCGCTAACTTCATAATCAGAAGGTGACTTCTGGCTCAATTTTGGTGAAATCATTATTAGCTCAAAATGGCTAGTGTCAGGAATGGATGGGTGGATATAGGATAGGAATTTTTTTTTTACTCTGAGAGGATGTGCAACTCTCTCTTTTCCAAAAAGCAATGGAGGCAATGTCATTGAATAATTTTAAGGCAGAGGTAGATAGATTTTAGACTAATATGGAAGTCAAAGGGTATAACAGGTGGGCAGAAAAGTGCAGTTGAGGCTGTAATCAGATCAGCTAGGATTTTACTGAATGGTGGAGCAGGTTCAAGAGGCCAACTGCATATTCCAGCTCCGAACTTGTAAGTTCACATGTATTTTCATAAAAACTGGCTTTTATCCCTTAAAACCCTGATTAACAAAAATATCAGTCTCAGATTCAAAACTAATAATCTATTAAGCAGCAATTAACATTTGAAGAAGAGGCTCCAGTAAACATGGTGAATAGCCGACGTCCCAACAAATCACTGCAGGCCAGCAGCACATCAGTAGACAGATCCTGCCACTTGGAGGACCTGCCGAATATACCGAGTCTCTCCCTGTTGCCACTCAATTTCTTTACCAGGTTAATAATGCACCTTCAATCCCATGAGTTCCAACTTGAGCTTAACATCATCAAATGCCTTCTGGAAGTTTGTGTATGCAACATTCATTTGCACTAATTTGTCCCATAATTTAATCAACTCTTCAAAAGGTTCAATCAGCTTCATCATGGATAACCTATCCCTTAGAAATCAATACAAATTTTCAAAGTGTTCAATACTCTATCCTTAAATATAGAATGGTAATTTCCTAACAATAATCTTATTGATCTGTAATTCCTGGTTATCCTTCTCACTTTTCTTTAATAATGGAGTAAAATGTATACTTTTCAAATCTAAAGGAATTGTTCTCAAAACAAGAAAACTTTGGACTAGGACAACTAGTGTTTTATTCTAAATAAAACCTGAAAGCACTGACTGTGCTCCACCCCCATGTGTTAATTCAGTGTATGAGAAAGGAAAATGCTGCCCAGAGTGCAAGGATGGTAAG